CCAAAGGCGCGGGATTACAGGCTGAGCCACCGAGCCCAGCTCTTTACAGTACTTTACAGTTTATAAGCCCTTCCTAATGCATTCCATTTGAACCATCTAAGAATGAAACTACCCAGGTCTGATTCCTGTTTCCCCCACGCTGGCTGGGTAGATGAGGACAATTCGTTTATGTTCTGTGTTAATTTTCTGGTCTATAAAATGGCAGTCACATCAGAACCACCTGGTTAGGCTGCTGGGGACTAAAAGGCTTATATGTGTAAGGTGCTTGGCACAGCACCTGGCACGGGGTGTCTCCTGACCTGTTGGCAGTTATGACTGGGCCCCGCAGCGTCTAACCCCCTTCACAGGGGTTCAGATGGCCTTGCAGACTTGGCCGCCTGCCTAGGGCAGGGCCTGAGACCCTGCAGGTCTGACTAGCTCCCCGGGGTGGGGGTGCGTGGGGGTGTGAATGATGCTGACTCCTGGCGCCCTTTGAGTTGTGAGGTTGTAGAGCAGTGGCTTGTAACCTTGACCAAGCATAGAAGCATCTGGGGAGCCTGTTAAAACAGAACACAAAACCCATCCCAAGAGTTTCTGACTGAGGTCTAGGGGTGAGGCCCCAGGATTTGCAGTCCTAACCCATTCTGCACTCCAACCTGCCTGGGTGACAGAATGAGACTCCAACCCCAAAAAACAAAACAAACAAATAAACCAAAAAAAGAGACCAGGAAAGGCTGCTTGGCTGCTTGAGGATGAGGGAGAGGGAACCAGGGCCCCTTCAACCTTGTCGCCTCTCGGCCTTCTCTCCCCAGACCACCAGGAGAGCCAGGGGAAGCCAGAAGCTGGCAGCAAGGCCCGCAAGGAGCGCACGGCCTTCACCAAGGAGCAGCTGCGAGAGCTGGAGGCTGAGTTCGCTCACCATAACTACCTGACCCGGCTCCGCAGATACGAGATCGCCGTCAACCTCGACCTCTCCGAGCGCCAGGTGCGCCGGTGGCCCTCTTCCCTGCCCTCTCATCTCTCCCCTTCCCTCTTTTCCCACCTCCCCTCCCTGGCCCCCCTCCTTCCTCCTGCTCCCCTGCCCATCCAGTGGTGCTCAGCTGTGGTCGCACTGAGACTCATCTGGGGAGATTTAAGGACGCTGAGGTCGGGGGCCCACCCCAGAGATGGCCGTAGACGGGCTGGGGTGGGATCCAGGCGTCCGAATTGTTCAGAGGACCCCTAGGTGATGCTCTTCTCGGCCTGGGTTGGAACCTCTGATCTGGTTATTCCCAGAATTGAGTGTGCATCGGTGTCACTCAGGTACTCGTTAAAAATGCAGATTCTAGCCGGGCTTGGTGGCTCAGCCTGTAATCCCAGCACTTTGGGGGGCTGAGGTGAGTGGATTGCCTGAGCCCA